GGCCTAAAATTTTCTAAATCCGCCACTGCGTAACATTATGTTAATACGTTTTTGGTAAGGTTCCGAAGGTACGAAAATTCGAGGTGAATTTCATGAAAACTTTGCGTCGAACGTTGCGGTCGCAAGAGCATATTTTCATGCCAAGAGCGAAGAACGAGCTTCTCCCGGCGCGCGAAATTACCGTAAGAAGTGAGAAAATATGTGCATAGGGTTGTTTACGCTCTTCTCGCGCATAGTGCCACGTCCCTTTTCGGCAGTGTTTCAAATATGTATATGTACTTTTTTTGTGAAAATATACAGACGCATAATTGTGTTATCAGTACTTTGAAAATTAGAACGATCGATGTTATTTTGTTTATTGAGGATAGAAGAAATAGATCACGTTTTAACGATAGAATATTTTTCTTCTGTAAATAGAATGATATTGATAGCTAACGAAACTTTCGCTTTTAAATCAATTTGAATCGAGTTTTATCTTATCAAAGCTTTGATTGAAAACTTATATCTCCTCTAATTATACATGAAAGCTGAATCAAATTTATATACTTATTTATTTATATTTTATTAATATTAATTTGATGCGTTTTAAATTATTATAATTATAGTATTAAATTAATTGGTGGTAAATTTACGGATTAAGAAAATAAACATAGAAAATGTAGCAGAGAAATTTTAATATTTGTTCTAATAATTTGTATGCGTCATAATTTAAATAAATTATTTGATATAAGTTATTCTCATTAGCAAATATAATCATGCCTGTGTAGCAGTCGTGTATGCGACGAAAGTTTCGTTTCACGCAATATCGCACGTCATGTGTCAGATTAACTATACAATAATCTGTTTTTCCAAAGTAAAATTCTGGAAAACAAAATTGAGAACATCCTCTGCGTCGACCTAATTAATAATTTAAGGAAACGATAATCAAACGAGTTCACGAAGCCACGTAATTCCAAATGTACGTTTTTTCAAGTCTTACTCTTATTGAATCATCATTCTCAAAATGCAAAACTGTTAAGAGAACAATTAACGAGGATCACTCTTAGTTTTTGTAATTATTGCAAATTCACTGAAAATGATACGAGTTTCGCAATAATAGAATTGCGAAGCAAATATCAAATTTTGGAATATTTGTCATTGCATGATAACACGTAATATATTTCGCTACATTGATTCGTCATAATTCCTATCATGCTCCAGTTTCACGAATAACGAGCATTTCCAGATGGTATGTGTTGCATATGTGTAATATCTCGTTAAATTATCCCGTTGGATTACACGAGCACATATTTTGTAGAAACTTTTGTTGAGTAATATTGTTAATTTGCGCGATCGACTGTACCTCGAAAATTCGCACTATTTTGACGGTATACAATTAATGCCGCAATTCTCCGATCAATACGACTAGCATTGTAAGCTTACATATAGCAGACTTTTCACGTGCTTTATAGCCGCTACGTAGACAACGAGTGCTATCGTTTGCGTATATTGAACCGGCATGGCGTTACCGCGGCGGTTGTGTGCCACGTCGATCGAGAGGTATAAAAAAAACTCGTGGAAATCAGATATAAAGACTCAGCCTGCGCGTTCACTTTGCACGCAACAGTTGACTCTCGGCTGCTTTGAGCGATCGACATGCCGGTATGCGCAAGAACGCTTGAAAACACATTTTAAAGAAGTAGGTAACTTGGAAAAAAAATGCGACATTTTGTTAACTCGCATTTGTCCGCAATTTATTGCAACTTTGCCCGACGAAAGACATGCCTCGATATAAACGATTTCAGATTCGATAACGCGCAACGATATCCAAGTGGAGTAATCCGTGAGAATCGTAGTGTTTTTTTTTTTTTTTTGAGCGTCACATATAAATGAAATAGCACGCAGAAGTTTTAAGCGGGATTTTTCCGGGAACGAATTTGGTCCGCGTAGATTAACGAGCTGATCGCAATGAGTGATAGATAGAATCGGGTAACAGCGCATTTCTCAGATCGAAATTGTTGCGAAATGAAATTTCCGGAGAAAAATGAAAAAAAAAAAGAGGAAAGAAAGAGCGAAAACCGATTATTTGTAATTTGTTCGTACGATAAAATAGCAATTAAAGCACGCCAGACGTAGACAAACAAATAAATGAGAAAAGAGACAGAATTCTATCAGTTATATCGAAATTCTAAAAATGGAATGTTAGCTACACAGAAGTCGTCCTCTCGCTTTCTCTATAGATATGTGCTACGTGCAACCTAGATCTGCACGAGAGAATGGTAGCAGCCAATTTGTTTCAAAGCAGTGTGACCGTTGTTGCTCGTTTTACATTCCCTATAAACCTTTTTCCATCACTTGAGACCGGTTAATTACTGCGACTTTTAATTACGAGCAACGAAATAGAAATTGTCAGGTAGAAAAACTCCGCACAATCGTGTTACTGCTCTCAGAATTCAGTATGATCGTGCTTGGAATTCGCGTAATCAACATTATTTACGTGTCACGCATATGTCATCTATTGTCCCGTTTTCCTAGATATAAGAATTAATGCAAAAGACCGAATGGTTCACCCTGTGTGGATGTGTTTGTTGTGTGTGTATATATATATTGTATATATATCGTCGCGTAGAGATTGCGCTGTCGGAGCGCTGTTTTTCGATATGACGAGATACGGCTTTTGGGATCATTGAGCAGAGAAAACCCGGTCGTTTCACGCGATACACGCTATAGAACAATCGGTGATAAACGCAAAACGCCGGATCGCGCGCGCCTATCTCGACCGCGTGCTTTTTCGACGAACAGAAAACGCGTACGCGCGACACGAAAAAACACATACACGCACATTCACATATATGCATACACGCGTCACACGGGTACATGCTTATATACGGCATACAAAATGAACGCACGTCGACACACTTTAGATGGCGATCGGATGAAACTCGCGATTGGCATTTTGACTTATCGTCAGATCGGATCATTTTGTTTTTGCAGCCGTGAAAAAAATATCTTTAAGATAAATTGCTGTTTGAGAAAATAGATCGTAACTTTAAACTACTGCTAAAGGAACGTAAGTTAATTTTCTTAGAAATAGTTGAGAGACTAATTATTATTCTTTATTTTTCTCGCGCGAAATAGTATATACTAAACTTAAAAATTTCTAAGTTGATTTGTGAATTAAAAAAATCTGATAATATGATTAAAAGCTTTCTGTAAAAGTATTCTTTTTATGACGCACTTTATAATTAATTTTTATAACTCGGAAACACATTACTTTTTAATCAAATTTCAAGATAAAATACTTAAAAAGAAACTTTAATACGATATAATTATCTCTCTAGCAGCATAATAATCTGACCAGACAATAGGGTTTACCGTCGAATGCACGGGGATCGACAAAGTCTCACTTACGTAAGACGCTAACGCTAGGCATAAGCCAGCCAATCAATCGCGAAATCCAACTTTAGTGATTGAGCAATAGCATATATTCGCTCGCAATTAGTTCACGGGCTTATCACACAGTCTTATATAATTGATCTAGTGGCTCTGCTACACATACAAAAAGACCACGATCGATGCCTGGATGTACATCCTGGATTCATCATCATAACGCGCATCATTAACAAACTAATATTTCATCGCATCAATATTGCAAAAACTTTTAACTTTAATTATCCGATATCACCGATATTATTTAATGACTTATTGCGTGAGTTTAATAGAATAAATATTTTTTTATCATTGACAAAAATTAATAAGTGACACAAATTACCGATAATTATACATTAATGAGTTTGATATGAAATCACGTGAACGTTGTCTGATTATACTCGGAATAAGAAGGAAATTGAAGAATGAATTTATGTCGATCGAAAGCGTAGCAAATTTAACATGGAATATATTTGAGAAAAATTGGGATTATCCAATTAAATCGGAGAGAGCGTGCCGTCGTGTATGGATCCAGGAGTAGCATCCGTCGCCATATCTCTCGCTCGATCGTTCGTCGTGAAGCTCCGTCTCGGACACGAGAGCCACTAGACGGACCGGCCACTCGAAGCAACAATATAGGCTTGCTGATCCGTAATCGTGAGAGTTTGTCGACCGAACCTTCGGAGGATACTCTTGTCATTTGATTCAACGAGGCCACCACGTGCCTTTCGCAATCTCGAGAGCCATTTCGCCAGCGCGAGTTTCCCGTTTCGCCAAGAATAAATAATCCGTCTCGCGATCGTATTTTTTTCCTCCTTTTTTTCTTTACCGAATTGACTAGAAAAAATCCGCGAGATACCTCGTAGCTTAAGCGTCGTTCGCCGCTTCCTATGTAACTCTACGCGTCATCGGAACATGCACAGCAGTCTTCATCACTCGCCACTCATCGCTTTAAGGGGAGTCACCTAACGTATTTTACTCGGGAGAGACCTTACGTCTTCCGCCTCTGACTCTTTGGCTTAGCCGTCATACAAATGTATTACCCGTCGATATTGTGCAGTACGACCGCCGAGATAATGACGTGGCCGGCGTAGCGTATCGTCATCACTTCCTCGTCTCGCACATCGTGTGTATGCACCCCTTGTAAGCACTCCGTGTGCGCGCCGAAGACATCGTCATCGATGACGATGCGATCGACCGATCTCTCACTGTCGCGTTATACAGGGTGCTCTGAAGTAAAGGTCAGTACTATGAAATAATGCTATCAATCATTATGAATAATTTGAATTAATCTGTATCTAATTTTAAAGACTTGCAACGAATCTCGCAAGCATTTTCGAAATCTTATCGCACGCTGTGATTTAGAGATCGAGAAAGTTAACTAGAATATTTATTTTGACAAGTATATTATTTGTAACTGTTGTTCGTAAAAATCAGATTCTGAAAATATCGGAGCTTTTTTATTTTTGTAAAAGTTTCTTTTTTATGATGTTAAATTAAATTTTATAACTCTGAAACACATCGAGTCATAATAAATATTTATACCGTTTAAATATTATGATTCATAATATTTATGTAACAGAAACATTTGCAAAAATAAAAAAGCTGCGATATTTTAAAATTTAAAAGCGTTTTTCAGTGCTGAATATTACTGACCATTTCTCTCAGAGTATCCTGCACAAGTTAACAACGTCGATTTCGATCACTGGAGGCAACCTCCTGCGACAGGTGCACACACATATCCAAATAAACAGAATCGAACGTCCGCCAGCTGGTTGCACTACATGTACCACGCACAAGACATCCTTGACTACGTCGTTAATTGCCGTGCACGATGAGTCGATTGCCTCGAAGAGTCGCACCACCACATACGACGCCTGTTATCAGGTGTTCGTCCGCGGCTCGCTCTTTAAAAGATTGTGCTGTTTTTGCAGTATCGCCTACGCGCGCAACTCAAAGGTCATGTTAATCGCACGCGATGACCCTAAGCACAATCAACCGTGCAAGTCAGTCAGTTCGACGCCGAACAAAAAAAAATGTACCGTGATATATAAATACGATCTCGGGCGACCGCGATACACCAGTCTTTTTGTCTTCAAATTAAAATCGACTCGCGAAATAACAATCTACATTCGACGATTTTTATTGCATGCCTAGCGACTCGATTCACGTACTTGAATTATGGCAATGTTGCTCGTTCTTCAGCGGTGTCTATCTCGTGCGACGGTGTACATATCTTCCTAATATCGCAGAGTACTATCACGATGCCGATTCGGATGGCATCTAGTTAGATGATACCGCATAATATCGTGGAATAATACCGCGCGCGTGTACCGTCGGTCACTGTTACACGAACACGATCGCGAGTTATAATGCGCTTAGCATACGCTTAGCATATTTAGCATACGCTTTCGTCCAACGGCGGAGAGTCGCCCGAGCGTGTCCCTTTCTCGCGTACGACAATATCGTCGTCGCACTGACACGGGCACACAGTCGAAAATTCGTCCGTTCGTCCTATAGACGTCTTGTCTCCCGTTCACTACTGCTCGCCCGGCACTCGCGAGGACGACTATTTTTTCTTTTTTCTTTTCCCGTTTCTTTTTTTCCGTCTTATTTCTCTTCAGCAGTCGGTATCGTCCTCCTGGTGCCTTCTACGTAGCTCCAGGTAACGGTGCCGGGCGTCGCAGTAATGAAGCAGCGGTACCTAGACGTCGGTGCCGGTGCCCTCCTGGTAGCCCTCGTCGGGCGAGCTGCGCGTGGATCCCAGGACGCGCTTGAGCGCCGAGACCGGCGGCAGCACCGGGACGCCCTTCTGCCAGACTCGCATCTGCTTCGCGCCAGGCGGGAACTGCTCGACAACCGGCGCCACCGCCGCGAGCTGTTCCTTCGACGGGTACGCGTTTACCGTAACCGCGGACGTCCTGCCGCAGGTGTCCCTGGCCTCCCACAGGCAGCTGGAGTACAGCATTTTGCCGGCGTCGTCGATCGCCTCGACGCGGCCGTAATCGGCCACGCCGTACGGCGTGATGTCCTCGGTGGAGCCGCGCCGTGTGTCCCGGATGAGATCCGGATTGTCGATCGGCATCAGAGACGTCGTCGACGAGAAACAACCGGCGCCCGGTATCGCCGCCACCGCCGACTGACTCTGATCGTCGAAACGGCTGATCGTGCCGTATTCGTTCTCCTGCATCACGGCCGCCTGCGGTCTCTGCACGTAGCTTAGATGAAGCGAGGCGGGCGGTTTCGATTCTAGCGCGAACGACGTCGTCTCGATCTCCTCGTGTTTCCTGCGGGTGGTCGAGGTCGCGGACGGCGGATTATTCTCGCCGCCGCCGGTCCCGTTACCGGCGCCCTCGCCGGACACCGCTTCCAGCGGTGCCGACGATTTTACATCCTTCAGCGGCATCCGTCGCAAACGAATAAACAGCACGAGGATAATCAGTAGGATGAAGAGGATGAGCACCACCAGCGCGGCCGATATACCCGCGATCTGGCCGGAACCCAGAGTGGACATGCCCGCGGTTCTCAGAGACACGTGTAGGGTGAAATTCGCTTCAACGCTACCGGCGCGATTCTCGGCGACGCAATAGAATTCGCTCGAATCCGCCTCCTGGGCGTTGGTGAGTATCAGCGTGCTTCTTTTCCTAAATTGTCCTTCCTCAAAGATAAGGATCTTCTGGTAGCTGCTGAAGGCCGAGTGATTAGTCAGCAGCCGGCTGTTCCAGTACCACTTGATCTTCGCGGGCGGTATCGCGCTCACGCGGCACACGATGCTCGCGTTCTCGCCGATGGTCGCTTCAGCGTAGCGGCTGGCTATCAGCAAGACCGGCCGGCAGGCGAAATCGTCGATGCCGAGGTCGGTGAAGGCACGGTCGACCAGCTGCGGAGGACCGTGGCACCGCGGCGCCACGGGGGTCGGCAGATTATGCTTCACCAGCCACATCTTCATCTCGCGCAGATGGCAGTCGCACACCCACGGATTGTCGTACAGCTCGATGCTGGTGAGCTTCTTGAACTGCTCGAAGGTGCCCGGTTGCAATCTTTCCAGTCGGTTGTTGTTCAGCTTGAGGCTCTCGAGCAGCTCGAGTCCGCGGAAACCTTTCGACTCGATCTCGGTCAGCTGCGTGTGCGACAGATCGAGCTTCACCAGATTCGGCGTGCTCTTGAACGCGTTCGAGGGTATCTGCTTCAGCGGATTGTACGCGAGGACGAGCTCGCGCAGGAACTGCGTGTCGGTGAAGCTCGCGCTCGGCACCGTCGACAGCAGATTGCTGCTCAGGTCGAGCTCCACGAGATTCGCCAGGCCGGCCAGTGCCTCGCTGTCGATCCGGTCGATACGGCACTCACGCAGATAAAGACGCTGCAGATTCGTCAGTTGGACGCGCACGAAGATGTTGCTCGGCAGGTGACGGATGTCATTGCCGCTCATGTCCAGCACCTGGGTCTCCGGATCGATCCACTCCGGTATGCTGGTCAGGCCGCGATCCACGCACTCCACCGTGCGCTTGCCGCTCTTCCACTTGCACGAACACTCGTCGGCGCACTTGTCGCCGCTGGCCGCCACGCCGAGCACCGTCACCGCGTACAGCAGGAACACCGAAACCCCCATGATGGATCTTTATCGCCGTCGACGTTGTCGTCGTAGTGAACTCACGACGTTCCGAAAACCTCGATTCTTCTTCCTCCCTCTCTCTTTCTCTTACTTCTCTCTCTCTCTCTCCCTTTCTCTTCCTTTCTCTCTCTTTCTCTTTCTTTCTCTCTTTCTCTATCGCGACACTTTCCTCGACGACACTCGGGACCCGCGCGCGTCGTCTCAACAACGACCGAGAAGCGTCTTTGCCCGCGCGGGGAAGCCTCTCGGGACCGATCTTACGCCCATCCTTCGCCTTTCCGTGTTCTCACACTTCGTCGCACTTTATATCTCTTCCTCTCGTTGCTTTTCTTCCACCCCTCTCTCCGTTGCTCCTTATTTCTTACACTCGAGTCTTTTTTTTTTACTGGTTGCTGCTTCTTTAACAGATCTCACCTCGATTTCTCACCTTATACGAAGCCACCACTCTCCGGAGTCCTCGCAGCGCACCGCGATGAATCACGAGAGGGATCGAAATTGAACGGACCCGTCTCGTCCATTCGCGAGTCCTTCCCTGGCACCCCTCGGCGACCGTGAGTATCCGCGTATCACTGCGTTTCTTCGCACCGAGCAGCAGCGCGCTCCGTTTCGGCGAGCCCAAACGGCGCCGAGAACGTCCCCTCGGGTTTTCGATCAGCCACCTCGTCGAGTATCCATTGGCGGCGTCACACGTGCGCACACGCGACCAGCACACACGACGTCACCACTGGACAGACGGACGGACGGATGTGCTGTCGTTACCGCCGCCGCCGCCGCCGCCGTCGTCGCCGTCGTCGTCGTCGTCGTCGTCGTCGTCGTCGTTGCCGCCGTCGTCGTCGTCGTCGCCGTCGCCGACGTCGTCGACGTCCGTTCTTACGTAAACCTTACGTCTGTCAACGTGCACTCGCGTCGTCCCCGACGAGAAGCTCCTCGACGCCTCCGCCGCGCCGTATCGACTGTAACCGCACCACTACCACCAGCGGCAGCACCACCACCGCGCTACCACCGAACCACCACCGCCGCCGCCGCCGCCGCTCACATCACCGATCGCCGCCGCTACTACGAAGGCACCCCTGACACCCGAATTCTCACGAGGTGCCCCGTCGTGCTACCGAGCGTAACGCTGCTCTCGTCGCGCGGGGGCCAACGTACGAGGATTCGCGAGGGTCTCCCCGATAAGGGTGCCCGCCGCCCCCTCGTTCTCTACCTCTCTTCTCGTGTCTACGACCTACGCTTCTGTCTATCGGTCACGCGCGCGCGCGCGCGTACCCCTCGCTCGCGGGAAAAAACATCCAAGCTAGCGACGGCGACGCCAGCGACGCTTGTTGAAATGCGAGACTGCAAAACGCCCGGCAGCGAAACGAAGAGACACCCTCTCTTGCGCGGCTCACCTCTCCTCGTATCTTCATCTCGCGTCGTCCTCCCTCCGTCCATCCATCCGTCCGTCCATACGTACGTACGTACATACGTACGTATCCCCGTTTTCACCCCTGCGTTTCTATCCCTACCGCACTCCCGCTGCACACGCCAGATCGCTCGGGAGGGAAACGCCGACGCAAAGTAGGGCGCACCCTTCTTCCGTTCTCGCACAAGGTGCACAAGGCGCATACAAGGTGGCCGAAAACACTCGACAATGATGGAAAAATATTATCAAGATGAGTAAGGCTCGTTTGAAAGGCTAAATACAAAGTTTTAATTTAATTTAAAAATTTTCAAAGATTTTGGGTCATTAAAGTGTAAAAGAATCTTTTTTTCACATTTAATTATCACGAGATTGGACCTATAAAATTCGGAAATCGTGAAGAAGATCGTATCCGGTAGAATTCCTCCTAAAAACAAATCGCCTCAAAATTCGACAAATAGTTTGGCTTTACGATCAGCGCTTAAATTTATACGACACCCTGTGTACCGGGTGTATACACACACAATCACCGTGATTCGAGTCTACGCCACCTCTCGCGTCCCACAACCGCGGCGCGCGTACATTCTCCAGCGTCCCGACGTCCACCTCCTCTCTCGCTCTCTCTTTCTCTCTCTCCTTTTTCTCCCCTTGCGCTATATCCACGGCTACTCTCCCTGTAACAAATCCCCACTTTCAACCCCGGCGGCGGTGGTCGGCTCGTGCGCCCTCCACGGCGAGTCAAATCGGGAGCGTTTTCATCCCCTACCAACGATCGGGCAACCCCACCCTGATCGCGACGGGGGGGATGCACTCTACTACCCTTAAACGAGTATGACGGGGAGAAAGGGAGCGCGCGCATATCGTAGTCGTCGCTATAGTCGCCGCTCAGCCACCCTCCATCCTCTCCTTCGCATCGTCGTCACGACCGCCTCGGCGCTTCGGCGTCTCTTTATATCCTCGGAAACTTCTCTCCCTCGCTACTTCTCTCTCTCTCTCTCTCTCTCTTTCTCCCTTTGCCGATCTCGCCACCGAATCCCACACTCTCGACATATCGAATGCTACGTCACAGCGAGGAGATATACGGCTATTTCGCAAAGTGGTTAAATGCACTGCCAGATTACGGGGCGGAGGGTTCTGGCGCCGCCGATTCGACTACGAATGTCGGTTACAGAATCACAGAATTCCACTGTAGAATTCCGTCTGCGCGGCCTCTTAAGATCCCTTATCCCGATCGCATACTCGACGCTAAATGCGTGCTCACCCCCGGTATTGTAACACACAAATGAGCAACAATTTCTTCGATGTCAATTAACTTAAGCGGTGATTCAATTGGCTCTTTCTGTTTTCTCGTAGATTCGATATTTGAGAAAAAAGAAACAGATAATAGAATTGCAATTAGAGTTTGCTTAGAAGCGATAATAAAGCAACATTTTCGCTGATGGATTTACAAGAGGGTGAAGCAACGGAAAGAGATATCTTTTATTCATTTACCATAATTGAAAACACTATTCTACCGTATTTCAAGACTTGAGAAACACATCTCCGAGATAACAGACGTTCCAGAGATCGGTCCAGAAGCTTACACTCCAACGGCCACACTTAGCGCTAAATGTGGCGGTGGATAGGACCGGGGAATACGGGTCGGAGTATTTTTCGTTTCTTTATTCCGCTGTCTTTTTCTCCAGCATCCGCGTATCCTTCTCCGTCGCGCTATCGTCGCATTGTCGTCGCCTATATATTCGAGCCCGGGGGATGTGTGTGGCATACGGACTTCCTCGACCGCGTACGAATACTTCTCTTTCTCCCCTGA